CCTTGACAGCATTATTTCCCAAATAAAACACATCTTTTGATTCCTTCACTACTGCTATGATGGGTGCTGATTGCTGATCCAAGTAAAATTAAATAAGTCACTACTTTAATCTTTTGTTCATTTATCTTTATTGATGCCCAGAAGTGAGGATTTTCTTTTTCTTAATGCTGTGTATATTCTTCAGTATGTGCTTCAAATCTTATCTTTTTGCAGCAAAAAAGAAGAGAACATATACAAGGAAGTGTACATGCTTTTGACTCTCTTATTCTCTTCCTTTATTCATGGAACTTAACTTACTGAAACAGAAGTCTCATTTAAATCTGTTACAATCCTCTCTATGCAGTTGAACATTACTGGAGAAAAATATCCAATGATACTGACTGAATGAATCATGCTTTAAATGCACAATTACTTAGTTCAAAGGGACTTTTAATGCTACTAATCACATACTATATTCACAATTAATATACCTTTTTACTGTTTGAATTCACACCTTCCCTTACTTCTAAATTTCCAACACTTCCTTCCTCATAATCATTCCCTGCTTATTTTCATACTTACATCATGAAAATACAACACAAAGTACAGAATTGGAAAATAATTTCTCCTAATTTTTATCACAAATGTTCATGCACCTTCATCTGTAACCATACAATATTTGCTTTGACTAGTACTTTGGACATGTGAGGAGAGACCGGTCCTTGGAGAGGGACATCATGCTTGGTAGGGTGGAGGGACAGCGCAGGAGAGGAAGGCCCTCTATGAGGTAGATTGATTCAGTGACTGGGATAATTGGGATGGGAGTGTCAGAGACAGTGTGATTGGCACAGGACAGAGCGGAGTTTAGGGCTGTCGTACATAGGGGTCGCTATGAGTCGCAAGCGACTCAACGGCACATAACAACAACAACAGTTATTAATAAATTATTTAGTCTCTAGGCTACATGTGATCTAGACACTTCCTCAACACTTCTGACTTAAACTTCCTGCACTGTTACAGCAATTCCCTGGTAGTAGTAATTTTTGCCTCAAGTAGAATTTTTTTTTTCCTGAGAACAAAAATTTAAAAGCAGGTGTATAGGGATTTTTTCTTACAATTTTCCAACTTCTACCCCATTTCCATGCTCCCCATTACAAAGAAACTGCTCCAACAGAAGAGAGGAAGATCCTCAACCAGGTATATTTCCTCAACTGCGGAAATGGGCTAACGTGTGTAGGAGCTTGTGAGGATAGCACAGGATAGGACAGGGTTCAGATTAGTGGTTCACAGGGTTGCTAGGAGTCATAGTCGACTCAATGGCACCTAACAACTAGCACCACCACAAAAGCTTTCTCCAGTGTATCACATTCTTTTCTTTTCTCTTTAACTAATACCAGTCATCCTTCTCAAACCCCTTTTTTTTGCCTAGAAAATGTTCTGGTCAAGAATCCAGTAGCCTCCACATTCCTAAATCCAATGATTGGCTTTTAGCTTTCATCTTAATGATAAACAGGTGACAATGATAATCACCTCCTCCTCTTGGAAACATATTTCCCCCTTTTAGATGATGTCTCCCAAGGACATCACATTCTATTAGCTTTCTCCCTATATTAATGATCTTTCTTAAGACTTCTTTTCATCCTTATCTCATTTTTCTTTATCAATGTGTTATGAAAAGTCTCAAAGAAAAACTAGGAATGCTAGTAATTGCGTCTATAAAACAGCTGTTGGAGAAGAGTACTGAATATACCATGGACTGCTAGGAGAACAAACAAGTTTGTCTTGGAGAGGGAGAAGCCAGGCTGCTCCTTGGAGGCAAGGATTCTGAAGCTTCGTCTGACATACTTTGGAGATGGTTCAAGATGGGGTCAGTCCTTGGAGTGGGATGTTATGCTTCGGAGGGTGGAGGGAAAGGAAGACCCTCAATGAGATGGACTGATTCAGTCTCTGGGGAAATAGGGACAGGTGTGCCAGGGACAATAAGACTGGCAAATGATAGTGCAGGGTTTAGGGCTGTTGTACATAGGGTTACTATGAGTTGCACGTGACTCTACGGCACATAACAACAACAACAACAAAAATAACAAGGAACTCTGGCGTCACAGTGCATGGCAAATCACACTGCTAACCTGAAAGTTGCTGTGATATACTGTCAAAATGGAACTGATTCATAGCTGACCCTGCAGCAGAGACAATAAATTGCATGGGAAGAGACTGCCCATTCTTCTCCTGTAGAGCAGTTAAGATGTGAACCTCGTGCCTTTGGGCTGGCAGCACAACTCTATCACAAAGTCATCTGAGTTCCTTTAACCTGAAACGGAGTCGCTGGAATGCACCAGTTCTCTGAGAAGAAAAGCGGGCAGGCTCTCCTGTTAAGATTTACAGCCTTAGAAACCTGATGGAGGACTGCTGTGAGTCAGAATTAACTCCTAGGGAGCCTATCTATGTACAACAGAATGAAACTCTGCTTGATCCTCCACCAGTCTCACATTCTCTGCTCTGCTGAAGCTCACAGTTGCAGTCATTGTGCCAGGTCATCCTTCATGTAAATAAGTTTTTAAATTGACTAGCTCCAAGATCAGAAGAAATCATTACACTCTTTGACAACTACCATAACTTTGTGCACAGCTCCTACTTCATTACCATGACTACATTCTTGATTGCGCTCCCTATAGCCACATTTTTGAAAGTATCTGCTACGAAACAAGTCAACTGAGAAAAAGTCAAATAAGAGGAGTCAAGTGAGGATGTCACCAAACCATACATAAATGAGGTATCAAAAAATGCTTAATCTCTTTTCAAGCATCAGAATACTAACTAAAATGATTTGGCAAAGTAAACTGGTTTCTATTAATACTAAACTAACACTCAACTCTATTTTCTTGTTTTAAACAAAGCACCTGAATTTCAAAGTATTTCTAACTAGATACTTGAATCCTAAACTATACATGAAAACTATATCTTTTTTCTAAGAAACATTCCCTTCTTTACAAAATTCCTGAAAAACTTAATTTTAAATTAAATATAATAATGCTGATACAGTCTAATTAACAATTTTTAAATCAGATGAGAATTTGAGTACCAGTTTTCCCATAATCTAGCTGTACTTCAAGTACACAAATATCCCAAGCCTGATATAGGTTATAGTGAATATTAAATACATGGGAATCATTTGGCCTGTTGTACCATATTCAGTAAATACTCAACAAACATGAGTTTTTGTTATTTTTAAAAAGAAATCTAGAATTACCATCAAATGTTTACAATCTCTTATGCAGTGTGTCTGTCCTAAATCGTTCTTCATCTCTATTTCAACAATCTTCATATAAAGGGTTCCTTTTCCTCATCATTATATTTATAAAAGGTCCCTTCAATTTTCTTTATCTTAATGCCTAGACCTATATTTAGGTCCTGGCCTCTTTCAATCTAGATAGTAATTTGAGGTTTTGCCCATAGCACTTTTTTGGTACAGCATGTCTTGCACTGGGCTGTTAACCAATAGGTCAGTTGGTTCAAATCTACCAGCTACACCATGGGCTCTATCTCATGTAAAGATATATAGCCTTGGGATCCATTTCAATATAGAGGGTGGCCAGGAGTCAAAATAAACGTGGCAGTGGGTTGCTGGTGTCTGCAATTAAGTCCCCTCCAGAATCTTTGAATCACATCCATAACTTCATCTCTGCATCAAAATGACATACTTAAAATAAGCAGTTTTCAAATACCCACTATCTATCTCTGTGTAAGTGTTAAGAATACAATTGTAAGCAAAATAGACATAATTAGTGTGGTATCATATTTATTTTGAGAATTCTGAAAGTATTTCTTTCATATCCAATGTTTGAAACAGTCTCTTAAGAATCAGAAGAATTATTTAGAATTACTTGCATCGTAGCTGATAACATCCACACTGGTAATGAAGAAGTATCAGTTCCCATGAATTTTTTCAGTCAAAACTACATGAAATATTTTTCCTTAATAGTTTTGTGATCTTGAGGCAAATTCTTTCACCTCACTATATTACCTCTTAAGGGGAGTTCTGGTGGCCTACTACATAGGGAGTTGCACTGTTAACCCAAAAGTAGTACCTCTGATGGTTCGAATCCACCAGAGGCTCAGAGAAAGATGGACAATCTTCTCCCATGTCTTTTATAGCTTTGGAAATGTCTGGAGCTCTAAGTCCTCAGCAATGAATCCTTTCTGACAGAGAGAGAGAGAGAAGCTTAATAATAAAATGGGCATAATATAATGCCAATACATACGGTTATTCTGTGAACGAAATGGATAGTATGCACAATGTGCTTAGAATGGTTTTTCTCACCCAGCAGTAACAATTTTTAATTATTACTGCTCAGTATTCCAAATTCTTTCAAAGTGGTACTGTATGATCACTGTATCCTCCCTTCAACTTTTCACCAAATCTTAAATCCTCTCTAGTCCTCTAAACTTTTCTAGATTAGTCAGAAGAGATCGAAAGATGTACCCTACTCAATCTAAACTCAGAACTCCTACAAAAGCTTTCAATTCTGTTCAGCCTGATTATGTTTTCACGTTTACACAAAACCAAAAGAATTCCAATTACATATATCACATAAACACAATATTTTTTATATATATATACACACAGATTTGAAGTGATACATAGATCTTTTCTAAGTCTGTTTTAGCTATATATTTTAGGATTATATACAGATGTTAAAAACTAATATAAATGTAAAAAATATACAGACCTATATGAGATCAACAAAAACATTTATTCAGACTCAACTCTAGAACAAGACAGCTAAATACAAAATGAGATCATGGCAGAAATCAACTATAACTAGGCTACCTGAACTATAGATTCGTTGTATTAGCTAGGAATATATCTACTTAGATTTTTAGTAATTAAGTTATATATTAAATGTTAAAAACTACATTCTAGACAAGATTACAGAATTGCAACTAACAAACTCAGCATGTGGTTCAACTTATTGGCATTAACATAAATAATTAACATAAATTAATAAAGTTACACTTACTCAAATTCTGTAGCATAATATTTAAGAAAGCCCAGTAAGAGGTCCCCAAGATTTGATTCATTCTTTGAGAGGTAAGGAGGAACATTACATGGAGCTTGATGGACAAGGTGCAGCTGTATAGCAGGACTAAAAGACTCCTGTCAAAGAAAACAAGTGAAAAAATATAATGAAATTGAAGCAAATACTAAAAACATTATTAATCTTGACCTATGAATCTCTGAAGAAAAGAAATAGTCTTAATGCTGGCTATGTTGACAGTAAGCCAAATTGCTGTTATTAGGAGCCCATGAATCACCTTCAATACATGGTGCTCACTTAACATCATCTTTACAAAAATTGGCATAACTCTGGTCAGAAAATATTCTGTTCTGTTCCGTGGTGGTTTTACTAGTTAATTTTCATAAACAGATCATTAGAGCTTTCTTTCTAGATTGTGTAAGTCCAGAAGTCTGCTGAAACCTGTCCATCCTAGGTGGCCTAGCTAATAGTTGAAACACCACCAGCACATGTTTCATTATCATAACAACACTCAAACCACCATCATACAAGAAACTAGTAGGCAAGTGGTGGAGTAGGTTAGAAAGTATCTGAAAAACTAAGTTATGCTAATTCAAATTTAATGGTGTGAGCACATCATTCAATTAACCAACAGGATCTCTACAGCAGCAAAATTATTTCCTAACTCATAAATGAAACTTTCTTATGCATACAAAGATTCGATGCAATAGCATATTTCATTATAAAATATATTGCTTCTTAACTATTTCTAAGCGGGAAAGTTGTACTTTATTCATGCTGTATTAAGCAGAACTTGTTTCAAAGGTCATAAGATAGTTTTAATATATGAACAGTACTTATCCTACTTTTAAAAATTTATATTCTTTCTTTTCTATCTTGTAGATGAAAGTAAAAAATATGTTTAAGATGTAAACCTAAAATGACAAAAAGTGGGCAGTGTGTAGGAAAAAGATGGAAATCATATCAGCAAGCAATATTCCAGTAAACTTTTAAAACAATATTCACTAATGAATACTCGATGACATATATTAAATATTAAATGGATGACATCATTTGCTGTCATCCAAACAAGGCACTTATTGGAAACAATGCTAATGGTTATCCTTCTTAAAATATATTACTATCTGATCTTTCTACTGTTTACAGTAAATTCTGATTCTTATGCTACCCTCTATTCACATCAGAATAGAATATTTACAGTATGTCTATGTATTTTAATAAGGAGCTTTGGGGGTCTAGTGTTAGGAAGCTGTTCTGCAATCTGAAAGGGACAGAGTTCGAATGCACCAGCTGCTCTGCAGAAGAATGGGCAATCTCTTCTGCACAATATGCTGCCTCTAAAAACCCACTAGAGGGTCAACTGTTAGGCAGTTCTGATATGATGGCGCACAACAAGAACAACATCCTCAAGTGATACATATTCACCTTAGAATAGAGCCATTATATTTATGATACTTTCATACTGTTATTAAGAATGGATTTCTGTATTTCCCCTATGCCATCAGAATAGAACTAATTTTAAATTTTATTAGATTTTTAAATTCTATTGTTAAGGAAGCAGAATAAGAAATAAAATTAGAACTCCCAATTATATAACTGATCAATCTTGAGTTTACAGATAACAACTCCAAACAGAGCTCTCTTGTGACACAGTTCATACCCAGTCAACGATGGCACCTATCTGGTGATTCCAATCCAGCAACTCTGCAGAAGAGAGACTAGCAGTATCCTACTGTGTGATTTAGTCTCAGAAAACTGATGGAGAGTAAGATATGAATCAATTCTGACTCGAAAGCAATGAGAAGCTCTAAGTTTGTAAGAGAGGCTCTCAAAGTATAGAAGTACAGAGGGGGAAAAAGGGTAATCTATTCACTGCTACTCCTCAAATCATGTCAGGGGAAGCAAAGCAAAAAGTAAAATATGTTCTCTATCCATTTGGTGTAATTACCAAGAAATGAATGACTTTCCCTCAGAAGAAAAATTTTATTCTAATCATAATTAATAAAGCTGGGACTCCTACACTTGGGACTTTTATTTACTATCCTGGAGACTAAGGTGCATTTGATACAGGCCATGGTCTTCACAATCACTTGTTATGTATCAGAGAATTGGACAATGACCAAGGAGGATAGAAGGAGAATTGATGCCTTTGAGATGTGGTGCTGGAGAAGAGTATAGAGAATACCATGGACTGCTAGGAAAACAAATAGATTCGTCCTGGAAAGGGTTAAACCGGGTGGCTCCTTGGAGGCAAGGATTCTGAGGCTCCGTCTACTATACTTTGGACATGTTGTGAGGAGAGACCGGTCCTTGGAGAGGGACATCATGCTTGGGAGGGTGGAGGGACAGTGCAGGAGGGGAAGTCCCTGTATGAGGTGGACTGATTCAGTGACTGGGAAAATCGGGATGCAAGTGTCAGAGAAAGTGCGACTGGCACAGGACAGAGCAGGGCTGTTGTACATAGGGTTGCGATGAGTCCCAAGCGACTCGACGGCACATAACAACAACACAATACATATAGTATTATATATTGTTGTTGTTACATGCCATCGAGTCTCTTGCAACTCATAGCGACCCTATGTACAAGAGCCCTAACCGCCATTCTATCCTGTGCCAACCTAGCCATCTCAAATGCACTCATTCCCACCACTCCAGCCACAGAATCGATCCATCTCCTCGAAGGTCTTCCTCTCCTTCGCCGCCCCTCCACTCTGCCAAACATGATGTCCCTCACCAAGGACCAGACCCTCCTTACAACATGCCCAAAGTATGTCAGACGAAGCTTCAGAATCCTTGACTCAAAGGAGCATTCCGACTTCACCCTCTAAAGGGCAAACCTGTTTGTTCTCCTAGTAGTCCATGGTATATTCAACACTTTTCTCTAGCACCACAGCTCAAAGGCATCAATTCTCTTATCATCCCTATTCACTGTCCAACTCTCTGATGCATAGCACATAAGTGCAAAGGCTATAGCCTGGATCAGGCATACCTTAAGTCTCCAATCTGACTTTGCTGCTCTTCAGTACTCTTGGCAGGTCCCTCACAGCTGACTTTCCCAATGCAATTCTCTCTTGATTTCCTGGCTGCTGTTACCAAGAGTGTTGACTGTGGAGCCAAGTAAAAGAAAACTCTTAACTCAATCTCTTCACCATCCACAATGATGCTGCCAATTGGCCCCGTGGTGAGAATCTTTGTTTTCTTGATGTTGAGCTTCAATCTATACAGGAGGCTGCAGTCCTTGATCTTCTGCAGCAAGCGCTTCAGGTCCTCCTCAGTTTCAGCAAGCAGAGTTGTGTCATCTGCATAAGGCAGGTTTTTGATGACTCTTCCACCAATCCTGATGCCACATTCCTCCTCATACAGCCCAACGTCTTGGATTATCTGTTCTGCATACAGATTGAAAAGGTATGGAAACAGAATACATCCCTGACGGACCCCATTCTTGATTTTGAACCATTTAGTGTGTCCTTGCTCTGTTCTGACGACTGCCTCTTGGTCCAAGTATAAATTTCACATTGCTGTTGTTATTAAGTGCCGTCGAGTCACTTGCGACTCACAGCGACCCTATGTACAACAGCCCTACACTCTGCTGTCCTGTGCCAATCTCACTGTCTCCGACACACCCATCCCGATTACCC